GAGGCCGGCAGAGAGAGAGGAGGAAGCAGGCTCCCTGCTGGGCAGAGAGGCCAATGTGGGGCTCGATCCCTGGACCCTGAGATCATGACCTGAGCCAAAGGCAGAGGCTTAACCCACCGAGCCACCCAGGCGCCCCTTTTTTAGGGGATTTAAAAAATTGTACACATTGTACATCTTCCATTTGTGTTTTTACTTCATTTATGAGTTTTTTTTCCTTGTTAATCTTTGAATTGTTATGGCAGAGATTTGTTCGTTTTCCTCTGCTGTTTCTGGGTCCATAGTCCCTAAGACCTGTGTAGGGTGAGCTTTGAGTCCGAACTCCTTTTACTCTTTGCTTTGGTTCCCCCGCCCCGTTTTATCCTTTCTTAACCATAGTCCTCTTAAGTGGTGAGAATAATTTTATCAAAGCTGGAGGACGACCACTGGCCCCCATGCGGTCTCCTATACCGCCGCAGATTATCTGTGAAACGCTCTTATTCTTCCTCTTCATTCTCCTGCTCCTGTGATTATAAGATCTCAAATTCTTCCCTAATACGCGGGGTGATGAATGAGTATCTTTTTAAAAACTTGTTGAGGAGGGACTGAGATTGGATCAGTACTTTTTAATCTTTGCTTCTAATTTACCAGGAGCCTTTAGGCTTTCTATAGACATTTGAGTATTATTTAAAATGTGGAGTGGGAGGATAAAGGTTATTTGAACCATAATATGAACCATATTTAATTGTATTAAAAGGGAAAATTTAGGTTTTGGAAAGAACCACTCAAAACTTTTTTTTTAAGAGATTTTTATTTCCTTGACAGAGAGACACAGCGAGAAAGGGAACACAAGTATGGGGAGTGGGAGAGGGAGAAGCAGGCGTCCCCACCGAGCAGGGAGCCTGATGCAGGGCTCGATCCCAGGACCCTGGGATCATGACCTGAGCCAAAGGCAGACACTTAACGACAGAGCCACCCAGGCGCCCCAAGACTGTGTTTTCAAGTTATGATTAAACTTAAAAATTAGTATTCATTCGTGTCACTCACAGGAATAAGGATTCCTCTACCATTTACTAGTTTTGTGACTTAGGGTTATTTAATACCTCTAAGCCCACTCCCACATTTGTAAAATGGAGAGTTATAAAATCCCCAAAGAGTGCTTTTTCTAATTAACTGAGAATAAGCATGTGAAAGCCTCTAGCACAGTACCTTTGCATTATCACAACCAGAATATCTGTTTTCATGTCAGATGAGGTTGGATATGAAAATTACTTTCTACTGCTCCAGTTTCTGAACCTGTGATTTTAAATGTAAATGGTTAATTTTAACTAGAAAAATACTTTCACTAATGAAGTATTTACTCTTATTTCTTAGTAAAGGATTTTTAAAAAGAATTTTTGATAAATTTTGAAAGGTTTTAAGTGTTATTCTAAATCAGTTATGTTATAGAGAGACTAATTTGAGGATTAAACAAAATGAAAATGAGCTGTTCATATTTGAAGAAAATGTGGAACACGAAATATTAGGATGGAATATTCAAGGAAGAGAACCCAAACTACTGTGTCTGTGTTAGAGTGACTGAGTTAAAAATATATGAAGGATGATAATCAGCTTTTCTCTTATGCTCATCAAAGCTTAAATTCCAACAAGAATTTTTAGTTTGGAAAAACAAATTTCCAGGACTCTTGCAAACATAGTATTCAGTAAAAGAGATTCTTTCCACATAAAGAAAATGACAGATTTTTTTTTTTTTTCCCTCAAAGCAGAGGTTTCAGGATTATCAGGTTTTATCATTTATGGATTTTTTTTTTCCTGTAGTGTCATCATCAATTGTGTCACATTTATTACAGCCTCATGTTTTATCTTGGCCTTTCTCTCTGCTATTTTCATTCCACGGCTGAATATTTTTGCACAATTAAATATTTCTAAATAAAAACTAAAATGAATAATATGGACCTCTGTTTCCTCCTTACAGAGAGGAGATGTTCTTGTATATTTTGTTTACTGGAACTGTGGCTGCTACTCCTTTCTTTAGGGTAGTTTGGCAGTTCATATTGGAGGGGTCAATATTAGCTGTATCCCTATTTGTAATTAAAGGCATTTTACCCAGAAATATATCAATGCCAGTGAATTTTCATAACAATTTCTGTAGCAAATGTCATTAAGCTACTTTCATTCCATATTCTGGTTTTCTGTGTAGCACAGTTACTGTTTTGACCATTATTCTCTCCAGCATCCATTTTTTTCAGCTACATTTTGTAGATGTGAATTTAGCCAAGAAAATTTTGTGTTGTATTTTTAATCTCTGTAGTTTAACATTGATTTTTCCCACTGTAGAAGTATGAACTAGATTAAAAAAAAACTACATTTTGGGGTGCCTGGGTGGCTCAGTCATTAAGTGTCTGCCTTTGGCTCAGGTCATGTTCCCAGGGTCCCAGGATCGAGCCCCGCATCGGGCTCCCTGCTTATTGGGAAGCCTGCTTCTCCCTCTCCCACTCCCCCTGCTTGTGTTCCCACTCTCTCTCTCTCTGTCAAATAAATAAAATCTTTAAAAAATTAAAAATTTAAGAATAACTTAAAAAAAAAACTACATTTTGTTTTTATGTCTTGGAACAAGGAACACTAGTAATATGAAGCCATTTCCTACTGTTCTGCCTCAGGAGCAGAGACTTTATATATCTTTTGATCCAGTAATTTCATTTTTAAGTAGTTTTCCTATGAAAAAGAATACAAATATTTTGGTCATTCCAATTTTAATGAACAAGTTTTGTGGTGAGAAATTTGAAATAAGTTGGAAGTTCCACAGTAGATGATTATATAAACTGTATTTTTCATTGTCTACCATGTAACCATTTTACCATAATGATGTGGCAGATGCTTAACGACAAGCCAATAGCTCTCAGCCTTTCAAGATCTATTATTATCTGAAAAGAGCTGTTTATGGAAAACTATATAAATGATGATTCCATTTAAAATATACACATACTCGGGGGGATGGGGTTACTGGGTGATGGGCATTAAGGAGGCAGATGATGTAATGAGTACTAGAGGTTACATAAGACTGATGAATCACTGACCTCTACCTCTGAAACCAAAAATACACTATATGTTAAGTAAATGAATTTAAATACATTTTTAAAATATACACATACTCGGGGCACCTGGGTGGCTCAGTGGGTTAATGCCTATGCCTTCAGCTCGGGTCATGATCCCAGGGTCCTGGGATCGAGCCCCACATCGGGCTCTCTGCTTAGCGGGGAGCCTGCTTCCCCCTCTCTCTCTCTGCCTGCCTCTCTGCCTACTTGTGATCTCTGTCTGTCAAATAAATAAATAAAATCTTTTAAAATAAATAAATAAAAATAAAATAAACACCAACATGCAGATTATCCTCTCTGGGTAGTAGGATCACAGATAAATAGTGCTATTTATAATTTGCAAGTTCACTGATATGTATTTTCAAAAGGTGAAAAGTATCACAATTGTATTTTCCTTAATATTCCCACTCTTACCGTTCTTTTGCATCTGGTAGAGAAATAGTGTGTATAATGGCTAGCGTGGGCTTTAGCGTCACAAAGAACAGAGTTTGAATCCTGGCTTCCCCAGTTACTGCCTCTGTGACCTGTTATGAGTGATGAAACCTCATCAGGTTTCACTTTATCGATACTGATTAATCTTTTTTTTTTTCTTAAGACTTTATTTATTTGACAAAGAGAGATAGCCAGAGAGGGAACACAAGCAAGGGCAGTGGGAGAGGGAGAAGCAGGTTCCCTTAAGAGCAGGGAACCAGATGCTGGACTCGATCCCAGGACCCCAGGATCATGACCTGTGCTGAAGGCAGACGCTTAACGACTGAGCCACCTAGCTGCCTCTGGTTGATCTTTAAAATAGGTGGGCTTTGGGGGCGCCTGGGTGGCTCAGTTGGTTAAGCCTCTGTCTTTGACTCAGGTCATGATCCCTGGGTCCTGGGATCAAGTCCCAGGGAGCCTGCTTTTCCTTCTGTCTCTGCCTCCCTCTCTGTCTCTCATGAATAAATGAATAAAATCTTAAAAAAAAAAACCAAAAAACTGGTTAGGGCTTTTTTTGAAGATTAAATGAGCATATACATGCAAAGGTCATATAACATGTCTGGTGCACTGTGAGCTTACAGTAAATGCTATTACTAATATTGTCACAACCACATGAAAATGCCGATATTCTTTTGCTAAAGCAATTTTTTAAATTTAAAAAGGACATTTTTGCTTTTAGAAAATACAGGAAAATATAAAATATAATCCCACTAGTCAAAGAAGATCATTAGAATCATTTAGTATAATGACCCAGCAATTGCACTGCTGGGTATTTACCCTAAAGATACAAACGTAGTGATCCGAAGGGGCACTTGCTCCTGAATGTTTATAGCAGCAATGTCTACAATAGCCAAACTATGGAAAGAACCTAGATGTCCATCAACAGACGAATGGATAAAGAAGATGTGGTATATATATGCAATGGAATACTATGCAGCCATCAAAAGAAATGAAATCTTGCCATTTGCGACAACGTGGATGGAACTAGAGGGTATCATGCTTAGCGAAATAAGTCAATCAGAGAAAGACAATATCATATGATCTTCCTGATATGAGGGAGAGGAGATGCAACATGGGGGGTTAATGGGGTAGGAGAAGAGTAAATGAAACAAGTTGTGATTGGGGGGGAGACAAACCATAAGTGACTCTTAATCTCACAAAACAAACTGAGGGTTGCTGGGGGGAGGGGGGTTGGGAGAGGGGGGGTGGGGTTATGGACTTTGGGGAGGGTATGTGCTATGGTGAGTGCTGTGAAGTGTGTAAACCTGGAGATTCACAGACCTGTACCCCTGGGGGGAAAAAAATATATGTTTATAAAAAATAAAATTAAAAAAAGAAAAAGAATCATTTAGTATATACAATTTTATATCCTATGAAAAACCAATACCTGAATGAATTGCTAGATGTTCTGTGTTTAATATATTTACTGACACATGGACCCATTTGTAATCTTTTCAGATCAAAACTTAAAATAGAAGATATAAAAGAAGCCAACAAAGCATTGCAGGTGAGTAGAAACTCTTTCTCAAGTAGGAAAGTAGGGATATATGTGTGTCTCCAATAGAAGGTAAAGCCCTGTATCAAGGTAAGGTACTGTTCCTGAATCCCAGGATTATAGAGGCAGACGCCCCAGACAGGTGTCCAGGATGATGGGGATCCACCCCTTCCCTGTTACATCTCTAGAATCAGTCAGTAATCATGTTGGAAATGACCTTGGAAAGAATTTTTTCTATCTTCCTATGAAGCATGTCCTGATAATGAATCTTGTCTTTGAGAGTCCTTGAGTTCCTGTGCTGGTCTGTTACTAGTTTTGACTGGCAACAAGTCATACCTTCATGGAGTTTGTTTCCTCTTCTGAATGGCTTCTGAAATGGGCATATGATTTTGCAGGTTGCTTTGAATATTGCGGTTAATATGTGAGAAAAGTGATTAGTACAGTGTTTGAGTATACGGTTCTGAATGCATCTGGACACAGAGTCCCTTCTACAATATAAAATAGTCTCTTTGTGAATAGTTCAGTGAGATTGCCTCCTACCACACAGCTTCGCATCCTGTTTTTTTAGCAAAGTGTTACGTGAAAATAATTTAAAAAGTCCATTAGTGCTAGAAAGAATTTAAAAAAAAGAATGGTAGCAGTCTTCTGTTCTTCACCCCCCGTCCCTTGTCCAACCTAGCTCCTGCCACCTGAAGGGAGCTACTCCAGTTCTTTTAGTTGTTTCTTCCGGCTTTGCCCCCTATTTCTAAATAATAGGCATATATTATTCACTCACTTATTTAAGAGCTATTTTAGACTATCTATAGCCTAGTTAAGATGGTGGATGAGGAATTTTGCTTTCACCCTGGTCTGTTTGCTCTTCATTGTCCTCCCAGTGTAATTGAGTTTTCATATAATTCATTTCCTATACATTCTTTGACTATTTAAATGTTCTTTGCTGGGCCATGTAGTATATTGTGATTATGCTTTCTTTCTTGAACTATTTCTTTTTCCCTCTGGAGTTAATAATTGCCTTTCCCCTGAAACTCATATTATACTGTATGTTAACTAAATTGAGTTTTAAAAAATAAAGTTTTGTATTAGAGCATTTGAGATTTCTTATACAAATGCTTTTTATAATATGCTTTTTTTTTTTTTTTTAAGATTTTATTTATTTAGGGATGCCTGGGTGGCTCAGACGATTAAGCATCTGCCTTCAGCTCAGGTCATGATCCCAGTTCCTGGGATCAAGTCCTGCATGAAGCTACTTGCTCAGTGGGTAGCCTGCTTCTCCTTCTGCCTGTCGTTCCCCCTGCCCATGCTCTGACAAATAAAATCTAAAAAAAAAAAAAAAAAAAAAATTTATTGAGAGGGTGTGGTAGTGGGGGAGGGTATGGGCAGGAGAGAGACAAACAGACTCTACACTGAACATAGAGCCCCAACACGGGGCTCAGTAAGGGGCTCAGTCATGACTTAAGCGGAAACCCAAAAGTCAAATGCTCCACCGACTGAGCCACCCAGGCAGGCCCTTAACATGCTTCTTTTTTTAAAAATGTTTTTATTTATTTGACAGAGATCACAAGTAGGCAGAGAGAGAGTGAAGCAGGCTCCCTGCTGAGCAGAGAGCACCATGTGGGGCTTGATCCCAGGACTCCGGGATCATGACCTGAGCCCAGGTGCCTCCCTAACATGCTTCTTGATTAAAGCTTTTCCCATGTTGGGGCACCTGGGTGGCTCAGTCAGTTAAGCATCTGCCTTCGGCTCAGGTCATGATCCCGGAGTCCTGGGATTGAGTTCCGTATCAGGCATCCCTGCTCAGTGGGGAGTCTGCCTCTCCCTCTGCCCTTCACGCTGCTTATGTTCTCTCTCATTCATGCTCTCTCAAATAAATAAAATATTAAAAAAAAAAAGTTTTTCCTATGGCAAAATGAATCACGTTCTTTTTTCCTTGGAGTCACCCCTCGTGGAGTTCTTCGCTCTTCTGCTTCAGCCAGGTTTGGTCACCCCCGTCTTGGTATTTTCCTTTGCTGCCATTTTTAGAATTCGCTTATATGTTAGAGTTCCTGTTACCTGAACCCTTTAATGTCTTTCTTGGCTTACTCCCTTGTTTTGGAAATGTGTCCTTCTGTAGCTTCCTAGAAAATGCAGAGTTGAAAAGACAAAGGTTTTAAGAATTTGTGCATCTGCGTATAGGCGTTTTATTTTGCTCTCACATTTTTTTGGATGGGTAGGGATGTCTGCCCTTCTGTCATTTAAGTTCTGTAAAATCTTTTTCATTATGAAACATACCATATTTATAACTGTATAAATATAACTTAAAAACCCTAGCATAGGGCATCTGGGTGGTTCAGTGGGTTAAAGCCTCTGCCTTCAGCCCAGGTCATGATCTCAGGGTCTTGGGATTGAGCCATGTGTCAGGCTCCCTGCTCAGTGGGAAGTCTGCTTCTCCCTCTCCCTGTGCCCCTTCCCTCCTCTCTCTCTCTCTCTCAAATAAAATCTTAAAAAAAAAAAAAACCAAAACCCACTTATTTAAAAAAAACATAACACTGGCGTACTCTGATTAGCTTATAATAGAATATTTGCTCCCTGATTACATTCTCTTCCTTATACTAATAATTCTCTATATTGTGTTCATCATTATGTTGTTTTTCTTTGTAGTTTAATCATTTATGTCTGCCTGCAACAAAATATTATGTGTTCTCTGTTTTGATCCGTATGAAAATTGATTTATATTTGACTGGATTTTTTTCGTCCTTGCTGTTGACCAGTTGATGGTCTAGGATAGCTGTCCTACAGAGTTTCTTACATTCTGGATTTTATCTGCTGGCCCACAGTAATTTTAAACTTGTTCCTCTGTTCTCTTATTGCCTGTAAACTGGAAGTTAAATGTAAAGGTTTGGTTAGATTCAGGTGCAGCTTTCTAGGAGAATTTTTAATCTCTGCTACCATATTTTTAATATCCAGGCCCTTATTTACTCATTTTTCCTTTTAAAAATGGCATCCTGCATTTTATCTCTGAGGATATTCGTTATAGTTTTTCTTTTGCTACCACCTTTCTTCTGAATTCCCTTCCTGGGTTTGTTTGGCTCAAGCACCTCATGCCTGTTATTCCTTAAATGTTGGAAAATTCCACTTCAGTAAAGGCACAAAAAATCTTGAAAAGGCCTGTGTGTGGTGGTTGGGTAGATGGGAATGGGTTTTTGTAGACTGGTAGGCCTCACCAGAGAGAATCTGCTAATAGCAAACTGCTGGGTACCTTCTCTAAATTGTTAGTTATCTACAGGAATTTTCTCTGTGGCAGGTGAGTTTCTCCAGAGAAGGATCCTCTAATATCCTTTTGGCACAGTGTGGTTGGGTCGCTAACATTCTGGAATTAGGCAGAGAGTAATAGCCATGTTTACAGAGGAATAGCTTGCTCCCTTCTAGTTTTGACTCTGCTTGAAAACAGCGGTTTCCTTGAGGAAGCAACTTTAGCTTTCTGGACAGGTTTAGCCTTCTGGACAGGTTTTCCTATCTGTAAAATGGGAGTTGAAGGTACTGATCTCTGAGGTCTCTTCCAGCTGACACACTAGGCCTACCCTGCACCGTATAGCTTTTCTCCTTGGGAGACGGGAAGGGTAAGTTTAATCAAATGAAAAAAAAAAAAGACTAGGGGTGCTTGGGTGGCTCAGTTAAGCATCAAACTTTCACTGAATTTGGCTTGAGTCGTGATCTCGGGGTTGTGAGATCAAGCCCCGCACTGGGCTGTGAGCTCAGTGGAGCCTGCTTCTTTCCTTCTACCACTGTTCCTCTCCCCATTCACACACACTCTTCCAAATAAATAATTCTAAAAGAAAGAAAAAAAAAAAAAGTAAACATTCTGGAAGGGGCACCTGGGTGGCTCAATGGGTTAAAACCTCTGCCTTCAGCTCAGGTCATGATCTCAGGGTCCTGGGATTGAGCTCCACATTGGGTTCTTTGCTCAGCAGGGAGCTTGCTTTACCTCTCCTTCCTCTGCCTGTCTCTCTGCCTACTTGCGAACTCTGTCAAATAAAATCTTATAAAAAAAATAATTCTCAAGACCAAGCCCTGATGTCAGAAAGATTACTTTTGCTTGGAAATTTGCTTCATAGCAGGCTCTCCATCCTTTAAGGTATAGCTTGGCAGGGAGCAAAGCTGCTTCCACTGGGTGGCTTTTGGACATTTGGGAAATTACCTTCCTTTTTAATAGCATTCAACAAGTTGCGTTGGATTACCGTTAAGGTCCCATCTTAGTTTTAAAAAAATTCTACAATTCATTTTATTATTTACTAGTGTGTCTGGTATGAGCTAACCAGGCCCTGCCCCCCGCCCCCCCAGCTTGATTTTAAGACTACAATAGTATATGTATACATGTAATACATATACAGTATGTAATATACATACATAATATACATACTGTATATATAATATACATATAATACATATATAGTATGTTAACGGTTAATGGTAAGGCTTCTGGTCAGCAAGTTATTAAATGAAAAGTTTTGGGGGGAGTCAAGAGTTACATGCAGATTTTTGTTGATGTGGAAGCTGCCACCCCTTATCCCCATTTGTTCAAGGGTCAGCTGTACTTGGTTCTTTGGCAGCAGCAACATGGCTTAGTCTGTTTTAAAATGGAACATGTGATGGCTTTTAAACAGAAGCACTGAAGACTTCCTTTACCTGGGTCTTCTATACAGAATTGCTTTTGTAGGGAAAAAATGTTCCTAGCCAGGATCTTAGATGGGTTAAGTATGGGTCAATTTAGAAATTTCAGGTGTCATGTTCTCGCTCACCTGTTAATGACTTATAATACATATATTTTCTATTCATCTACACAGTAGCCATTACATTTGTTATAGAATTTAAGGGAAATTAATAGCCATGTAAAACTTAAGGTGAAGTCTCCTCTAATGAATTCTAACGTGATTTCCAAATTCTCTTCAGATTTTAAGGACTTACTGTGGTATATGGAATACATATTGCCAAACTCCTATGCATTTCATAGTGAAAATGTATCCTTACTGTTGGACTAGATAATCTCTAGGGCTCTTTTTCCTTAAAGAATATTCCCATTAATAAATTTTAAGATTTTATTTGACAGAGATCACAGGTAGGCAGAGAGGCAGGAATTGAGAGGAAGGGAAGCAGGCTCCCCGCTGAGCAGAAAGCCAGATGTGGGGCTCATCTCAGGACCCTGGGATCACGACCTGAGCCAAAGGCAGAGGCTTTAACCCACTGAGCCATCCAGGCGCCCCCCCCCAATTAATTAAATTTTTAAACATTTGATAATGGAAATGTCCAAACAGTTGTACAGAGAAAAACTAGCCCATTAGCCAGTTTCAATATTTCACAGTATATGGCCTTTCTTGTATTTATATTCAACTATCCTTCTCCCTCACCCGATTATTTTGAAGCAAACCCCACACGTACTTAATTCTCCCAACTATTTCAGTATTTCTCAAAGAAAAGGACTCATTTCCAAGTCATCTCTATATTCTTAGATGGTTTTTGGTTGAAAATGTTCACATGTATAATTTTTTTTTAAGATTTTATTTATTTATTTGAGAGAGAGACAGTGAGAGAGAGCATGAGCGAGGAGAAGGTCAGAGGGAGAAGCAGACTCCCCGTGGAGCTGGGAGCCCAATGTGGGACTCGATCCCAGGACCCCGGGATCATGACCTGAGCCGAAGGCAGTCGTCCAACCAACTGAGCCACCCAGGCGTCCCACATGTGTAATTTTTAATGTTAACAACTTTAGCATTAATTTTCATGCTTCTTCCTTCTAGGGACTGGTTTGGTTGAAAGACAAGGAAGCAACACATTGTAAACTTTGTGAAACGGAATTCTCACTTTCTAAGAGAAAGGTAAGGGAGATAGGAAGTGAGTCTGAAGGACTTGATGCAAACAGGACTTCTAATTTAACTTTTTTTTTTAAATTTTTCCATTTAATAGCACCACTGTAGAAATTGTGGGGAAATTTTCTGTAATGCTTGCTCTGACAACGAACTGCCTTTGCCTTCTTCACCAAAGCCAGTACGGGTTTGTGATTCCTGTCACGCGCTGCTGATCCAGAGATGCTCATCTAATTTGCCGTAAGACTCCAGACTAAGTCCTTTTGTATGAAAGTACCTACAATGAATGGTTAATGTATGAACCATGTACATGATGTATTTAGCCAGCCCTTCTTAAGCAGCTTTCAGACCGTACTGGTACCAGTTTTATCTTCCACGTATTCAGCACATGGGAATTAGAAGCTGTAGAATAGCTCATTGTTATTCAAAAAGAACATTCAACAGGGCATGCTTTAAATTAACTTTTGTTAATTCCTAATTGATGTAACAGTCATATAACTTATAACACCACTAAAAAAAGGCCAGATAGCAGAGCTAACACACATTTGCCTTATTTTGTAAAGGCCTTCTTAAAAATAGGGGTTCAGATTCTTTTACTCTGCAACTTGTCAAGTCGGTATCTGATGGTGCCTGTAATTTTCTTAATGCACTTTAAAGTTATCACAGTTCTCAGAAAGATCAGACATACATTGAACTATTTGCAAGTATTAATATTCCAGTTCAACAGTCTTTCATTAGCTTGCTAAGGTTTCATCCTTAATAACTTGTCCTTTCTGCCCCACTTCCTTTGCCCATTTTGCATTAGAAGAGGCCAATATTTTATCCTGTAAAAATTTCCTTTTGGTCTTCCTCTAATCAATGTATTTATTGGTATTTTCAGATATAGGTTAAAGAGGTATTTTTTACCTGAACTTTTTCCTTATTTTGAAAGGAAGTTGAACTAGTCTTTTAAATTATTACTTACACATCTTTCCATGTTATACCTGACTCACCGAACTTTAGGGAGGGCTCAACACCTCTTAAGAAGAAAAAAATCCATCCCGGGAAGAAAATGTTTATTAATAGTAAGGGGTTACAGGCTGATTGATTCTCCTCTAAGCATCAAAGGAGAAATCTAAAATAGTTTGCCTTTGATGGAATTTGAGTAATTAAAAATTTTATTCTATTTACATTCCAGTAGCTTTTAGGAAGCATTACAGTGTAGTGATCCACTACTGCAGTTCTGTATAGCGTGAAATATCCACCCTATACTGAGCACCTCCAAGCCAGGATCCTGAGCAGATGAAGATGTGGTCTCAGCCCTGCCATGAAATACATGGTCTGTTTCCAGCATGAAAGAGTCAAACACTAATCCCATTTTACCATTCTTGTAGCACACAAGAATATGTAAAAGGTTACCGTCTCATTAATCCTTTGAATAGCATCACCACTTGGGAGATCCGTTTTCCCCGCTTTGGTGTTAACTTCAGCCATGCACTTTAACTCTGTGAATCTTTCAAACAGGTCAGATAGGAATTTTTGATTACTCCTAGGAGCATTACATTTTTGATTACTCCTAGGAGCATTACATTTAGTAAATTAATCATGCCCCCCACCCACCTAAGATGGGGTTACTTATTCTGTAGGATCCTTTCCTCAGAGTATATATACTTTCACTAGGGCTTAAAATTAATTTTCTAAATTGCCAAAGTATGAAATCAGTATTTTACTTGAGGACTTATTTTCTCCAAATCCCGTTAAGCTTTTGAGGTCTTCAGTTCGAACTGCTGTACAGATTTTTAGGTGGTCTTTCTTGAAAGCCGACAGAAATACTGTCAAGAGAATTATATTCTTGAACTGTTTTGTACTGATGGGATGATTAACATTTTTATGATTGTTAAAAATGAGAATAAGCAACTATGAAGTTTCAAATACTGTGTTTTTTATTACTGTGCTTATTAATACAAATTTTAAAATGTGATTTTGCTTAAATTCCAAAGCTGGGTTTCATTCAACAAATAAACCATGATTTTCAGTCCCCCGTTAAATTCTTTGTTATTCAAAACTCCTGTTTATCACCACTGATTTTGGGCTTTTTGTAGTCAAGCTTTTATGATAGCAATACAATTTGCTTCATTTAGTTTGGGTTCTTATTTAAGAGCCATGTATACTAAATGTTGGATTTTGTTATAAAAACTCAATTTGTATTGTGAACCTACACTTTCTAATCTTCAAGATTTGCCCTCATTGAAAGTATTTATCTTCATGAATTTCACATACCATTCCTTCATCTAGCCAGTACTACCCACAGTAATGCTATCATAGTGCCAAGGAATTGTGACTGTAATTCTTCTACTCTGCAGTGTTTTAAAATGTGAATTTTATAAACCAAATAAAACATATGAAAAATTAGCCCTTCAAAGGGCAACTTGCACTTATAACTTTTTATACCTTTACTACTTAAAGATTTTAATAGAGCAGGTCCTGGGAAATCACATACAATCTTTAAAAAAAAAAAAAAAGGTAAGTGGTATTAGTCTAATATGTAAGTGGGTAACTTAGGAGGGGTACAAACATTAAGATGTATCTCTGCTTTAGCAGATAGCTGTGTTAGCTTAAGTGGAACCTCTTCTTTCTGCAACAGTAGAAATCACTCCTTAGGTGTCACTTTGTCTAATGTTCCCTTAGAATATACAATCAGTAACCGACACAAATCATTCTAGGACAGAGGCCACACTATTATCTCCCACGTTGATATTTATTACATTAATAACATTTCTAGCAAAAACAAGTAACAAGGTCAATAACCGAATTCACATTGACAGGTTTCATTTTGATCCATTAGCCAATTTGGGGGGGAAAAGCCGTACTGATCAAAGGGATTAAAAGTAAAAAGCACCTTTTCTTTGCTACTCATAGTATTTTTTAATACAATGGCTCTAAAACTCCAGAGATCAAATGCAAAATCCAACTTCCAGGACTCTCATTTTAATTAAAACTATCACATGGACTTGTCTCTTACATTTGTTTAATCATTTATACAGTTATTGAGAAACCATATGCTATATTGGGCAGAAAAACTGAAAATACAGCTGTGAGAATTATACTCCACAGTAAATACTTTTGTACTTATACTGGATTCTCATGTCACTGAGAATCTTAACCTAGTCTAAGACATTTTGAGATAACTTACAACTATCAATTTTTTGGAAACATTTTTTGGTACTTCAGTCAAGTGCTGAGTGAATTTACTCTAAAATCTAGGGCTAGAATTTAAACTTCCAACATTCTCATCCCCAGGTTAACACAATTATGAATATTCAGAAATCCAAATACCTCAAGATCTTCAACATTTCATAGCTATGCCTGATAAATGACATTTGAAAAGAATGACTAAAATAGAAATTAGCTGAATTTACACTCCTGAAGCCACCTACACTCATCTTTAGGTTTTTATATTTACAGTATTGTCCAGGAGAAAAAAAAGTTACACTATTTTCCAAACTCTATTCCAGACGTCTGCTTATTAATAAGACTTGTAGTTTATGCAAAGGTGAACCATTGTCCTCTACAATTACACTATACTACTACTTGTAGAGCTAATAGTAAAATACATCAACCCAAATCTTAGGAAAGCAGCACATCCTTAAGAGTAGTATATAAAAAGTATCAACATCAGTGGTTTGAATATAAAAATTTATTTTTAAGTCAAAGTATGCAACAAATAAAACCTACAGAAAACAGATTTTTCCATCACAATCTGTTGCTTTACCAAATAATATTTTGAAAACACATTCCTTCAGTCATTATAAAGTTCTTAAAATACAAAAGAAATTAAATCTGTAAGAAAGTCTAGTAGACCAGACGCTACTGTCAGGACTTTTATGTTGGTGGTTATGCTTTAATACATGCCACGCCATCCACCTCCACTCATGCCCCCTTGCCCATAGTAACCGCCACTGCCTCCACCACCACGGCCTTAAAAAACAAAAACAAAACAAAAAAAACTTGTTAGGAACTGTCAGTACATACTTCATTGATGATAATACATGAACTTAAAAGTGTCTGCACACATGGGGACTAACATATCAAACCACAGTAACCAATGACACTTACCATAACCACCCAAGCCATCAGGAGTACCATATCCTCCACTGTAATTGTTACCCATTCCCATTCTTCCAACAGATCCATAACCTCCCTGATTATCTTTAAAAAGAAAAAAAAAGTGAGATTGACTGCTACATGTGTAACTCTGCTCATTTAAAAAACTTTACCTACCCATTCCATCTCTGCCGTAGCCTCCCATTCCAGAACCTCCCATTCCAGAACCGCCTCCAGGAGTAGAATTCAAGAAGAGTTCAATGTACCGATGTTCTTTAAGACAAAGAGAGTAACAAGGAAGGAATGATGGATCAAAATTTATCAATAAAATGAGAATTAGCTAATATTAACCTGGGCATATATTTACATACTTCCTAGTGCAGTAATAATATGAACGCCAGAGGCTAAAACCTAACCTACCATGTTTCGTTCAAATTGTACAATGCTAAAAACATAAAATGTGGTTGGGGCCTCCATTTCCTTATCTATATAAAAATAGATATTTTTATATAGATAAAATATACAGAATATATTTTTATATATTTATATAAAATATATAAATCTAATATATATAATATACATATTAGATATATTTTCTATATATCTATATTTTTATATAGAAAAAAATAGATTCCTTATTTCGGAACCAGTTACTGTGCTGCTTAAAATACATTGCATGTCCAAAAAGATGAATTCAAATCATGTCATGAAAATAATGTCCATGAAAGATTACTACAAAGTGATTTGTGTGTAGCCAGATTTACGAATCACTGGTCCGGGTAAAATTTAATGGTTTAAAACCAGTTTGATGGCATACAGAAATAACAGCCAACTAATTTGATGGATGGGTTCAAAAGTCCTCTGATTTGCAAATGGCATGGGAACTCAAGCACATGCTAGTAATATACCTATTTTCCCTCTTTAATAACTTAAGCTTGGATAACCTGTCAAGTACTGAGACTGAATTAACTCTTCAAACACCCCACCCCACCCCCCGTCCCCCCCGCCCCAAATGGTCTTAACTTCTTAGAGGCCATGGTTTCAGGTCCCAATAACTACCAAGAGTTACTTACCTACAAACCTTGTAGCATATCACATTTGAGAAATTACAAATTTTTTTTTTAAAGATTTTATTTATTTATTTGACAGAGATCACAAGTAGACACAGAGGCAGGCAGAGAGAGAGAGAGAAGCAGGCTCCCTGCTGAGCAGAGAGCCCGATGCGGGACTCGATCCCAGGACCCTGAGATCATGACCTGAGCCGAAGGCAGCGGCTTAACCCACTGAGCCACCCAGGCGCCCTACAAATGTTATTTTATAAACAAGTTCACACCTAAGAAACTAGATAGCAAGCCAAGAATACTTACGCATGTTATTCTTATCTTTAGACATGGCAGCTACAGCATCTTCATGTGTCACAAATTCTACATCTGCCTCTCCTGTTGCTCTGCCATCAGCTCCAATATCAATATGCACTCGTATTGGATTCAGTGGTGAGAAGAACTAAATAAGAGAAAACACTTATTAAATCGCCACATACCTTAGTTTTCCCTCATCCATTAAAACAAACCTTTTTACTGCCCTGTATTGCAAAGCTAACAAGTCAGCTACGAACATTCTAGGACCATAAACATAGAGGAAAATGCAAAAAAATTATTTCTTTAAAATAAGCTCAGTCGGGGGGTGCCTGGGTGGCTCACTCGATTGAGCGTCTGCCTTCAGCTCAGGGTCCTTGGACGGAGCCCTGCATCAGGCTCCCTGCTCATGAGGTAGCCTGTTTCTCCCTCTGCTTGCTAAATGAAACATAAATAAATATAATCTTTTCTTTTAAGATAGCGAGCACAGGCAGGCAGAGTGACAGGCAGAGGGAGAAGCAGGCTTCCAGTCAAGCAAGAAGCCGGACGTGGGACTAGATCCTAGGACGCTGGGACCACGACCTGAGCCAAAGGCAGCTGCCCAATTGACTAAGCCACCCAGGCATCCTTATAATCTTAAAAATAAATAAATAAATAAATAAAATAAATAAAATAAGCTAAATGAAAGGGGCGGGGAAGCTAAGTGATAATGGGGGAGGAGATCTAACCCAGAGCACAGTTTACTCTAAACAAATGAAAACATCTCATACCCTACCACTGAGAGGGAGAAGAATTAAGTCCTCCGTTCCTACTCCTCCCAAGGAAGTATTTCAGAATTATCGTTTGAAGGATAAATAGGTAACCAGAGACTTAGAAACATGTGCAGAGAATTTAGGTGTTATGATTCAGACCAGTGGAATTTGACAAATTGACACAAATACCCCCAAAATGTATCACTTAGTTGTAAATCACAAGTTATCAGGTTAAAGCAATCCTAACAGGTACCTGGAACTTAGGACCAATGAGTTCCCTGTAAGATCTACAGGTACATTTCTTTTAGAG